ATTTAATCACACTTGGAGCTGATAATCCCCCTAACAATTATGTGAGCCCAGTAGGCATTCCGGTGAAGTTTAGATGATTGCGTAGGAAATTCTACCTGGGCAGTCAGCTTACTGTATCCGTAATGGCGGATACCATACAAGCAGTAAATTAGACGGGTAAACTGGATCCAGGTGTGATTAAATTCATGGCGCACGGTGAGCCTCGTAGCTCAATCGGTAGAGCGTTGGCTGCGCAAAAGCCTGCCCTGCTGCGTGGGTTCGACTCCCACCAGGCCGCGAGTTTTTTCACAGAATTGAATTAATCAAATCTGCCAAACCTAACGAGTTCGGTTTATTATTTGGTATTTTTAGTTTTGCAATAGTTTAGTTAGCTTAGTTTACTTAAGATTATCCTAGTTTAGTTAATTTAGTTCACTATTATTAGCGAGATGCGGCTTAAAATGGCAGAAAAACTATCTTTCCTGGTTTTATTTCAACTTCGAAAATTTGATGTAGTGCTTTCTGTTGCTAAACAATTCAAATGATTTTTGCTATTATCCTCCACTTTTATTCGCTCAACGATTTTAAATGCTTTTTGTTTCGCCCGATATGCCTCACCCATAAAACCCCTATTACCTGCGGTCCCGTGAGACACAAACCTGGGGTTGCTGAGCTGTTCCATAGAAGGAATCTTTGCGGTTTTAGGTTTTTTTTCGAAAAGGCTTTAGACGCCAATCGTGCCGCAGAAGTTCTACATCGAAGAGTTCATTTACCTGTGATCCTAAGTGGGACTCAGGCAGCACATTATAGAAATTAAACTAGCTCAAAAGACGCTGTTTGTGACTTTACTCTCCAGTAAATAAGATGAAGTTTGTCAGCCAGCTCCGCCTTTGCTATCAGAGAGAACGGGAGATTGGCAGGATTAGCAAATAACGACAAGGGTTTAATGCTCTATGAGCCTATCTGCCTATACTACCAACGGTTACGACTGTCAGGGCTTCTATCGATGCCCAAGGTAGAACGGGACAGATGACTTCCGTTAGCGCTCGAATGAACGTTAACCAACGAGTGTCAAAATGCACTTCAAAGGCACGGTTTTGTTATCGTGGTTTAAAATATCCCTTTATTTTTTTAATCACTTCACGTAAACTGTTTCAGTCGATGCAACAAAAAATTAGAGCACTCGTGACCCCCTTTTATTCACTTTCTTTTTCGCTCTCTCTCTCTCACACATAGATACCTTCGACACAGAATTGGGTCAACTGAATTAAGCAAATCTGCCAAGCCCTCCTAACAATTTCAGTTCATTATTTGGATTTCAGTTTAATATTAGTTTAGATTACTTTTTAGTTTAGTTAGCTTAGTTTACGTAAGGTTGTCTTAGTTTAGTTAATTTAGCTTACTATCATTAGCGAGATGTGGTTGCCTTTTGCCTTAAAAATGGCAGAAAACCCTATCTTTCATGGTTTTATTTTTACCTCAAAAATTTGTTTCATTTCTCACCTTAATTACCGCGTGCATTTTGTTCCAAACAATTTAAATAATTCCTACTATTATTCTCTACTTTTATTAGCTCAACCATTTTAATTACTTTTTCGCCAGATATGCCCCAACCATAAAACACCCTAGTACCAGCGGTCCTGTGGGCCAGAAACCTGGAGTTTCTTGTTACTGAGCTGTTGCATATAAAGAATGCTTGCCCCGACAGGAAATGAGTCTCAAAAATACGAGTCACACAAGTTGTGTTGGTAGAAAAAGAGATTAAAACAAAAACCGGGGAAGCCCAGTTGGCAGGGACAAACCTCGGCGACGCAGGCCTTGTAGTGCGACTCCAGTCGATTGCGTTCTGCGGTCGAATGAGTGGAACCAGACTCCAGGTCATGAATCCGTTCCTTCAGGGCCTCGCATCGGGCACAGTTGAGAGATGAGGGGGTACTGGAGGCGGCTTGGTTGGCTAGTAGACCACGGTTGTTGGAAAATGCCTGCAACCAGTGAATAGACAACAAGGAAAAAAGTGGGCGATAAAAGGATGTTAACTTCTTTAAAGGGCTACAACTTAGATATACTAGTAGGCCACTTACCCTCGTACACTTAACGGATTAAATTGCAGATGCGGCAGATAACGCAACCACCGGAATATGATCAAGTGTCGGCTCCAGATCGATAAATCGATTGCCTGAGTTCTCATCGGAATACAGGTCAGACTGAACGCAGGCTCTGGTTGCACATAAACGAACACTAACTGGTTGTGCAACGGGACAACGGACCAGCACAAGTGACCGCCCACACCTAGAAAACAGGTTACACGCTTGACCTCACAACCACGAAGTTAATTTTCCACACCGGAAACAAGAGACTCTGATAAGAAGTCAACCAATCAATGCATCGATCCGGAGTCGACGTGCACAATCACCACACTGGTGTTGCGGCTGTGTGATTGGCTCTTACACCTTTAGCTGTTGCCGATTGTATGTCTGGCAGTGGACTCCTGTACGAGCTTGAAGGCTCAAGTAAATAAAGAAATGGTTCCGGTAATCGAGCACCATTTTTTTTACACTTATTTACCCTTTTAAAAAATAGGTAAAAGACCCGCAAATAAGGGAAGTAATGGGGGTTGGAGATTTTATTGGAAAAATTGTAACTTTAACAATTAGAAACTACTGAAGCAGGCACCGCAATGGACTGGAACCTGAAACATTACAGACATTAAACAAGGCAGTGTGAAGCTTCAGTGAAGCTCCAGTTGGTTCGTGCGACACTACTTCAAGGCCAAAAGGTGCCTCCAAAAAGCGACATTCGCTGATTTCAAGACAAAAAACGGTTGTTTGGTTTTGCTCGCTAGTGTGTTTTTTTGCCTCGAACCGGGACACAGTTGACTGGCAACGAACCGGTCAGCCAAGTTTCCCCTACATTTCTCCACAAAACGCCTTTCACACTGATTGCTATTTGCTCAGTGACTTCATGCAAAAGCCCAAGATCACAGCGCTGAGGCAAAAGGCAATTTAGACTAGGTGGATGAATGTCACTAAAAGGAACATGAGTCCGTAGCACGAACAGTAGCAAATGGGCAAGAAATAGACGGCTAAGACTGCCGACTACCATTTTTGCTAGTGAGGATTCCAAAAGGATGCAAAGTCTCCTAATTCGGTCTTATTGATAAAGTCTTCCCCCCTCTACTCCCAGTATGGCTGCAGCTCAAAGCCATCCCGGATATTTAATTTACGATGGAGGAAGAAGAAAACAACCAGCTGGCTTTCCTGGATGTCCTTGTTTGCCGCAAGGACGGTGGTGGCCTAAAAATGAATAGTTCAGGAAAGTAATCAACACTATGCAGGTCCTGAACTACAACAGTAACCACCCAATCGGCCACAAACGCAGCTGCGTAAGAGCGCTTTACCGGCGCGTTGAGACGCATTGCAGCTAAGTGGAAGACAAAGTTGCTGAATTACAACATTTTCGATGGGTACTGAGAGCGAATGGTTGCCCGCGCAATTTTTTCAGCCACTGCATACGCAGACGACAGAAGAAACCAAATCTAACTAGCCCGACAGATTGCCGAGCTCTTCCGTACGTGAAGAATGTATCGGAATTGATCATCAGTCTACTCACCCCGGGTCATGAGAACAAAGGCAGAAGCAACCATCAGGCGCCGGGTCATGAGACCGACAGACCCACTGCCAAGTCAGGAAACGGCTGGAGTCGTTTACCGGATCTGGTGCAGTTGTGGACAAAGCAACTACGTCGGAGAAACGAAGAGATAACTCCGGACGCGAAGGAGCGGGCGCAGCAACAACTAGGACGACAGCGGGCATAATTTTCGCGCAATTACCAAGCTCTAATCCGACACGTACAAGGAAATCACAGCAATTAACGAGTCGAACGCGAAGTGTCAAGCCATCGCCGCACCAATTAACACCCAAGTAGTGGCTAAAGCAGTGAATAATTACAGTACGCACGCGGATGAGCGCTACGAACTTTAAATACCGTGCAATCTGTGCATTTTTCACCCCTGACGCAAAAGGCAATTTAGACTAGGTGGATGAACGTCGTTAAAAGGAACGAGGCCGTAGCGCGGACGGTAACAAATGGGCAAGAAATAGGCGACTGAGACTGCTGACTACCATTCTTGCTAGTGAGGATTCCAAAAAGAAGCAAAGTCTTCTAATTCTTTCCTATTGATAAAGGCTCCCTGTTAGGATGGTCCAGCACGCGAATCATCACCCTTGTTATCGTGAAGTCACGCCTGACAAGGAGCCACGAACAGACGTTAGCTGGCCGTCCCAAATGGCAGTGAACACGTGTAAGAACGCGGCCGAGTTATGCATCTCGCAGGGAGGCCCGCCAGCACCGGATGGCCGTCCTGAGGTCAAGACAACCAAGAAAGCCCACACGCCGAAAACGCATGCATAACGGGCAAAGCGCGCGCGTAACAGGGCCGCCACGTGTTACATTGAGGTCACTAGCATCCCACCCGGATAAGCGCTTCGTAGAAGGACCAATAGGAAGAGGCAGAGAACAAAGACTGCTGGCCATCTAAGTACGTGGCTGCGAACAGAAGGCGCATTCTGCTGCCGGGACCAAGCTGCATCACGGTGTCTGATCCGAGTTCGAGTCCCTTACCTCTTCGGTCTGATATTTCTGCATGGCTGGCTGACGAGGGATAAACACTCAGAAACGGTCACCTCAGTCCTTCTGTCTCCACGCTCTTAGTCTGCAAAGCACTCAACAAGTTACAGGTTGTCCACTTCTTAGGAGCGGATCGTTTGACAGACGTGTCAACCTGATAGGGAGCCCGGAATATCCGCGATCCACACTCAAATTAGCGTGGTTCGGATAAAAAATATCAATGCGGAAGCGAGGGTTCTCTGCAAATACTGTTGCACCCTTCAATGCCATGAAGAGCGAACATTAACAGACACCTCCTTCCCCTTCCCACCTCCTCAGTCCTGGATAAGACTAAACTGTAACCCATGACCTCTGAACACCCTAAACCCTCTGTTTAGTGGATACGTAAACACTTGTTACTCCCTACCTTCCCTTATATCATACTGCAAAGACCCGATGATGATGAATAATCGAAAGCGTGCATTCGCTAAACCTGACTTCTTAAAATTTGAACTATATCTGCCGCTGTATTTGCATAGGTGGTATAATCGGCATGCAACTTTGTAATGCATAATGACCATGATCTATAAGTCATAAGAAACACGAAAGCAGTGGCAGATAAGCTAATAACTGAATGGCCGCTGCACGATCTCAAAACGTCGCCTAATGACAAACTTTGTCAATAGATTGACAATTCAGTGTACAGTACGCGCTAGAATTCGTGCAACATGCCGACATATGCGAAATATTAATATTCTTTCGCTAAATGGCATTGGCTCAAGTTGTGGTTATCGTGTAGCCTATTCTAAAGTTATTTCAGTCATGAGAGGATGCGGGCTTTTTAACGAGCTTCACTCTGACCACTAAAAAACCTATGTAATGTAAAAAATAACTACTTAAATAGCATGCGCTTTTATCATTGATTGTGACTGCCTTTATATATTCAAATATATTTTATGGAAAACGTTGACGAATAAATTATTTCTTGAACTATCTGACTTCTTCCTCAAAGCGTATCTTTCGGTTTTAAAAAATTTTCTAAATTGCCGAATAATTTTGAAACCTACTGACTACAACATTTAGACGAAAGGTTTACAAACTGCACACTGTGTACATCCTGTTTAAGCAAAAGTATGTTTTCGCCTACAGTTTAAGGAAAACGTCACATAGTTCTCATAAAATGTTGCAATAGATGTGGAACATGCTTTATACAGTATAGGCAACAAAAATAAATTGTCGGATACGATGTATTATGAATAAACACCTCACAGTCGAAAAAAGCTCATAATTAGACATTTTTCTAAAACCGAACGACGCCCTTTCTTTAAGTATAAAATTTAAAAAAGATGTAAATTGCTATCAAACGAATACAAGAAATAATTTTTTCGTGCATGTTTTGCATAAAATATATTTGAATTTATAAAGGTAGTCAAAATCAATGGTAAAAGCGCATACTCTTTAAGTTGTTGCTTTTTATAGTACAGTAGTCGCCTAAGACCATGCAACGCTCATCATGAAATGTGAACTGACACATAAGCGTATATTCAGTAACACTATTTTGATTCATTCAGTTTATTATATTCTGC